TATGTAATATATACTACATAAAGGTAGAGTACGTCATATTAAAAATAATTTAATTTGGAGCCTCACTACATTGTCACAGTCCATGTTGACACGTCTGATCATGCTCTATCTGACGAATTTGTATCTTGACAATAGCTTTGCAGCGTAGTTTCCATTGCGAACGGCTTAGCCGTAAGGCTGTCGTATCCAAAGCACACCATCCCTTTCTGCAGACTTTCCATAAAATATATAGTGTGATAGGATGACGGTTTCCCACCCACGATTTTCAACAGTACGATTGCACATATAATCATAGTCGCTGTTTTCTGTAACTTGATCGGGGTGTTTTCTTATGGAATGACATAAAACCCCATTTCATTATCCAGCATTTTGAGGTATGAGGCGGATGATCCGAAAAGTCGTGCAAGCAACTTGTATTTATATGACATGTATCACTCTTCCAGACAGAATCCTTCTTGATTATATTGCGTGCCGTTGCCTGGATCACGTGAACAACTTTTGCCACTGATCTTCGAATTCATAGACTTTCATCTGTTACAAAACATCGCATTTTGTTGTCATGGATTGAATACGACTTGATGCAAGTCTCTTTCTGGGTGGTCCTAGTTCCCCAAGTAGATACATATTCCTTTGTTTTCCAATGCTAATATGTACAAGGGATATCTCTCTTTTGGAAATTCTTAATTCCGATCTGAACACATCTTTAGGTTCTGAGAGTACGAATATCTTGTGTCAGAAAAGGCTGTTACACGCCTTTCTTAATACCCTGGCATAACTAACTACATAACAACAGGCTATGTCAAGTACACCTTTGTTTATTTTCTAAAGCATGGGTTCCTCGTCATCAAACTATGTCAAAATGTATTTCTGATAAATGTCGTTCCATTACGACTTTACATCTGTTGTGTTTGTCACGTGACTTGGTTCGCCTATTCAACATCGTTTTAATGTAGTATACTCAACCCTTTGCATTATGGTTCACAACATTAATACATAAACCAAGAATATTATATACACACCAAACAAGGCTTATTGATAATTCTAGCAAATAAATGATTTTCTTTTCTTTCTAAATCTGGTTTACCTGAATATTTACATTTATATCACCACATAATAAAACTATCTTATTGTAATACATTTATATAAATAATCTATAAAATTAATTTCAGTTGATTTCTTATATTTTTATGAAATATCCTGATTCTTTGACATAAACCGTAGCGCTAAGGACACAAATTCGTTTGATCTAACAATCTAATGACGTCATTACATTATAAATTTCGACGGTCACGACCCTTGGGCCACATAAATTTCAAATATTTGCGGGGTTACGACCTTTGGGATATATCATATAAAAACGATGGTACGACCTTTGGACCATACATTGTGGGTTACGACCTTTGGCCCATGTTATATCAAAACTATTGCACGACATTTGGGCCATACTATATTACAACAATTGCAGGCTGCAATCGTTGAGTCATGGTATATTGAAACTGTTGCATATTACGACCGTTTGCACACACACGCTTCAACGCATTAAATTCGCGCACCAAATTGCTTCATAGGCTATTAATTTATTCGAAGAAATTATTTACAACTTTAACTATTATTTGGACCGCTTGTTTTTCTTGCATCGTGGGAAGACCCTACTTTCAATACGCTAATACCATCTTAGTTCGCTATCTGACGACAAATATTTATAGTCAGCTAATTGCCTTATTCTACTAATGGTTTCTATTATTTGGACCGCTTGTTTTTCTTGCATCGTGGGAAGACCCTACTTTCAATACGCTAATACCATCTTAGTTCGCCATCTGACGACAAATATTTATAGTCAGCTAATTGCCTTATTCTACTAATGGTTTACGATAAGAGAAAATCGTCCATTTTTGACAATACAACGTAAAAGTGATTTATTTTCGGCATACAATTATTCCAGTTTTCCTATTATAATCTGTGTTTTGATTTTCTACCAAACGTACTGACAAGGTCATCATTTCTATTGATTATTTTATAACGTTTCCAAGATAAGTTTATTTTTCCAGCGAGAGACCAAAATCATGAGCTCTGAAAGTTGTAAAAGGTCGAAACATGTTAACAATCAGTACAACGTCTTCCACACAATGTATATGGAGTTAGGTCCAATTACTTTAATCCAGAAACCAATGACTAGTATCATTAATCCAATAGGTGATGTACTTAAAGAATGCCAGAACGTTTCGAGACAAAAAAAACTAATGAAGGTTAAGTAAAGAGAAATGAACAATTATGTTATCAACAAAGGATACTTAATTTAGTAGCTGTATATTTAACTGAAAGGAAGGTGAGAACTTAAATATTTTGTTTACATATCTGGTTTTCTTCTCTAACATTACCCTTTAGATGGAGATGGACAAAATAGATTAACAGTAGTTGTTATGGTAATAATGAGAACAATAGTTAGTGTGATAGTAATATTTACAGTAGTTACTATTGTAGTAATATTAACAGTAGTTGATATCATAGTAATATTAACAATAGTTGGTATGGTAGTAATATTAAGATTAGTTGGTACGGTAGTAATATTAACAATAGTTGGTATGGTAGTAATATTAAGATTAGTTGGTACGGTAGTAATATTAACAATAGTTGGTATGGTAGTAATATTAATATTAGTTGGTATGGTAGTAATATTAACAGTAGTTGGTGTGGTAGTAATATTAATAGTAGTTAGAATGGTAGTAACAGTAATTAAGTAATATTAACAGTAGTTGGTGTGGTGGTAAAATTAACAGTAGTTGGTGTGGTGATAATATTAACTGTAGTTGGTGTGATAGTAATATTAACAGTAGTTGCTTTGGTGGTAATATTAACAGTAGTTGGTATGGTAGTATCAGTAATTTGTATTGTAGTAATATTTACAGGAGTTGGTATGGTAGCAATATTAACAGTAGTTGGTATGGTAGTAACAGTAGTTAGTATGGTAGCAATATTAACAGTAGTTTGTATGCTAGTAATATTAATAGTAGTTGGTATGGTAGTAACAGTAATTAAGTAATATTAACAGTAGTTGGTGTGACAGTAATATTAACAGTAGTTGGTATGGTGGTAATATTAACAGTAGTTGGTGTGGTGGTAAAATTAACATTAGTTGGTGTGGTGGTAATATTAACAGTAGTTGGTGTGATAGTAATATTAACAGTAGTTGGTATGGTAGTAACAGTAGTTTGTATGGTAGTAACAGTACTTATTAACAGTAGTAGGTGTGGTGGTAATATTAACAGTAGTTGGTGTGGTAGTAATATTAACAGTAGTTGGTATGGTAGTAACAGTAGTTAGTATGGTAGTAACAGTACTTATTAACAGTAGTAGGTGTGGTGGTAATATTAACAGTAGTTGGTGTGGTAGTAATATTAACAGTAGTTGATATGGTGGTAATATTAACAGTAGCTGGTGTGGTGGTAAAATTAACAGTAGTTGGTGTGGTGGTAATATTAACTGTAGTTGGTGTGGTAGTAATATTAACAGTAGTTGGTATGGTAGTAACAGTACTTAGTATGGTAGTAATATTAACAGTAGTAGGTGTGGTGGTAATATTAACAGTAGTTGGTGTGGTAGTAATATTAACAGTAGTTGGTGTAGTAGTAATATTAACAGTAGTTGGTATGGTAGTAACAGTGGTTAGTATGGTAGAAATATTAACAGTAATTGGTATGGTAGTAATGTTAACAATAGTTGGTGTGGTGGTAATATTGACAGTAGTTGGTGTGGTAGTAATATTAACAGTAGTTGGTATGGTAGTAATAGTACTTAGTATGGTAGTAATATTAACAGTAGTTGGCATGGTAGAAATATTAAAAGTAGTAGGTGTGATGGTAATATTAACAGTAGTTGGTGTGGTGGTAATATTGACAGTAGTTGGTGTGGTAGTAATATTAACAGTAGTTGGTATGGTATTAATAGTACTTAGTATGGTAGTAACAGTACTTATTAACAGTAGTAGGTGTGGTGGTAATATTAACAGCAGTTGGTGTGGTGGTAATATTGACAGTAGTTGGTGTGGTAGTAATATTAACAGTAGTTGGTATGGTAGTAACAGTAGTTAGTATGGTAGTAACAGTAGTAGGTGTGATGGTAATATTAAAAGCAGTTGGTGTGGTCGTAATATTGACAGTAGTTGGTGTGGTAGTAATATTAACAGTAGTTGGTATGGTAGTAACAGTAGTTAGTATGGTAGTAACAGTAGTAGGTGTGGTGGTAATATTAACAGTAGTTGGCATGGTAGAAATATTAAAAGTAGTAGGTGTGATGGTAATATTAACAGTAGTTGGTGTGGTGGTAATATTGACAGTAGTTGGTGTGGTAGTAATATTAACAGTAGTTGGTATGGTAGTAACAGTGGTTAGTATGGTAGAAATATTAACAGTAATTGGTATGGTAGTAATATTAACAGTAGTTGGTGTGGTGGTAATATTAACAGGAGTTGGTGTGGAAGTAATATTAACAGCAGTTGGTATGGTAGTAATATTAACAGTAGTTGGTATGGTAGTAACTGTACTTATTATGGTAGTAATATTAACAGTAGTTGGTATGGTAGAAATATTAACAGTAGTTGATATGGTAGTAATGTTAACAGTAGTTGTTATTGTAGTAATATTAACAGTAGTTTCTATTGTAGTAATATTAACAGTAGGTGGTGTGGTAGTAATATTTACATTAAATACAAAGATAATCTCGTCTATATAATAATTAGCTTTTAAGAAAGTCAGGTTAAACCCATCTAAAGTCAGGTTAACCCCATTTAAAGTCAGGTGAACCCCATCTTCACGCTTTTAACCAAGTACATAATGCTTCCAGAATAAGAATTATACTTGGAAGCTCTCCGATCCGGCTCTTTAATATGTAATAAAAACAGTGAATAAAAATAAATTCGGAACTAACGTGTATTCATGCTTGTTAGAAATTCTGTTGGTATGTGTTTAAAAAAGATAAACATTTCGTGTGTTTACAATACTTACAATTTGTTTGTAATAGGATTCGTTGGCTGACTGACGTAGGTACTCCATTCATCGCTATACACAAGTACGCTCCGTTGTAACTGCGATTTACCTGTATTAGATTCAGACTCTCGCTGACTAGGTTGGATCCTGAAATATCTATAACGGTTTCATATTACCTTGGAGTTAAAGTACTTTCACTTACACACATACATATATATTCATATATATCTATAACGGTTTAACATTATCTTGGAGTTAAGATACTTTCATTTACACACACACATATATATTCATGTATATTTATTACGGTTTCACATTACCTTGGAGTTAAAATTATTTCATTTACACACACACACACACACATATATATTCATGTATATTTATTACGGTTTTACATTACCTTGGAGTTAAAATACTTTCACTTACACACACACACATATATACATATTCATGTTTATTTATTACGGTTTTACTTTACCTTGGAGTTAAAATTATTTCATTTACACACACACACACACACACATATATATTCATGTATATTTATTACGGTTTCTCATTACTTTGGAGTTAAAACAATTTCATTTGCACACACACACATATATATATTCATGTATATTTAATACGGTTTCAATTTTAACTCCAAGGTAATGTGAAACCGTAATAGATATACATGAATATATATATGTGTGTGTGAGAGTGAAAGAATTTTAACTACAAGTAAAGTAATAAATATACATGAATATGTGTGTGTGTGTGTGTAAGTGAAAGTATTTTAACTTCAAGGTAATGTTAAACCTTAATAAATATACATGAATATGTGTGTGTGTGTGTGTAAGTGAAAGTAAGGTTTAACATTACCTTGAAGTTAAAATAATTTCACTTACACACACACACACATATATTCATGTATATTTATTTATTAAGTACATATATCTGATATGACTTTGAATTAGAGATGTAGATAAATTAAACTAATTTGGTATGCTTACATATATATTCGTAATTTAAATTGAATGTTTTTAAATATTAGTTTGACGTAGATAGCAGCATAAGTCCTAATAATCAACGCTAATTATGACTACACTTATCACCTTCACTATTATCCACAAATAATCAGATCTTATCGTTGATAAATATCATCATCATTAAACGGGTTGGGGTCAGAGGGCATGCCATCACGTTTATAGACCTACATTTAACCATAACAAAACACAAGCTATCGAATTTTTTGACAACACATTGGTTTACTATTGCTCGAAGAGGTGGAAACAACACATATAACCAGAGGCATACCAGATTCTAACTGTTCTGTAGCATTAACTGATGTGATGATAGGCTTCCCGTCTTCTCGTCGCCACGTGATGTTTGGTGTAGGATATCCCTTAGCCACACAGGTCAAAGTTACATTTGACCCTTCCTGAGTGATGATGTCCGAGCTGGTGTTTTCTCGTTGAATTTGTGGAGGGACTAAAGACGGTTGAAATATACACAAACACCTTAGATACACGTAGGCCAATGTTACACATTACTTTGTTGTGAAGGAATATATTTTTATCGACGGTGCTTTGATTGACTTTAGACGAACCTGCTACAAAATCTCAGAATATTTCAAGAGTTTTGTAAGTGATGACTTGTATTTCCATATTAATATCTATAATATTGGATCCTAGCAAATTCATAAAACTTTCTTCGTTGAACAAAAACCATTAAAGTTATTCAAGCTTCTCTCAGTAAGCGGTATTTACAATGGCACGTATATGTATAAATTTATCTAAACCTGTGTAATATGGTTCAAACATTAATATTCCATAAATATTCCCGAAAGGCTTTACGATTTACAAAATAATTACTGATTTTCAGGTTTGTAATCTTTAATGTTAAGCTGTAAGGAATTATTTAAAGTAGCCCAATGAGCGTGTCTTACAGCTAATTATATTTTAAAACACTCCATCTTCTGTGTGATTATAGTATCACAAGAAAACCAGTACTTAAATTCGAACATTTCCGAAAACAATCGAAAGACCAACAGAAATAAAAATGTAATTTTCAATACATCTCATGATTTATTATTATCTTTTGGAAGTAAAAACAAATTTGAATAAGTAGGCATGCGCACATATTAGTTAGTCAATTCGGAAATACTTGTAGATCTTGCAAATACCACGCTTTCCGTAATCTCGGCCCGGGGTTATTATTGAGTACACATACGATACTGGAAACAAATCATTTTAATACTGATTTCTTAAAGATCAGACAACAGGAACAAACCCACTAAGCTGCGACTAATACAACTTTTCATTATATGTTGTTATACGACGAACTCTGACCGTTTACTTACACACTACATCCAGATATCCCACTTGGCTCATCATCGGAGCTGTGTTCACTTGACACATATATCCTCCACTGTCGGACTCTTCCACATCTTTGATGTGCAGCACAAAGCTCCTGCTGTCAACGTGACTTAAGCTTATACGGTAGTTTCTAGTAATCACGTGGTCATGGATGGAGAGTATAGCTTTTGTTTCCACTCTTATCCAAGCCGCCTATCGGAAAGAGAAGTTAAATTAATGGAGAAAGAGGGGAGAGCTCGAGGAATAAGGAAGTAATTGATTGGCATTTATCACAAATCACGCGAGCAGGAACAACAATTAAGCCGGTAGGTGGCCAACAAGGATGTCAGAAGAGAAAGTTAACTATAGAAAGTTGAATACAATGTACTGGAGTTCACAGTTAATGTTTTGATTTTAGGTTTACGGCCACCTTCTCGAGCGACAAACTTTTCGTTTAAAGTTGACAACAATTTCCAAGTTGAGGATAATTATGATATATGGTGTGAGCTACATAGGAATAGACTCAATTACAAGGAGGAATCGATCAAGCTGGATTATCAGTGCAAAGCTGGAAGCAGCTAAACGTATAACTCAAATCTAGAGCTTAAGGAAGAAATTCAGATTTTTTTTGTTCATCCATATAGCTTTGTATTTCTATGAAAACTAAATCCACATTTGTGTTATTTATTGTGATAAAAAAACAACAGATCTTTGTATTACATATTTCTGTTTTCTATCAGATTTAATAAAGATTTGTTATATCGTTCTTTTAACGACCGTAGGCACTCAATTCTGGCTGAAAATTAAACAACAGAGTAAAACTGATAAAGGAAAACGAAACTGTGAATAACCAAAGATCACATCTTATATTGAGGGAATATAAGCGATAAGGAAAAAGAGAGGTGTTAAACAGGCAATTACTTACTGGTCTAAGTATTAAAACAAACAAATGTGTCGGTATGGCGCAGACATTCGTCTCATATGGTCTTGACCTCAAAAAAGCAAAGTAGTGTGATGAATAAGAGTATATCTGTAAATCATTAAGTACTGAATATTTCATTTTGATTGAACTTCAAGTTTTGTTTCCAGAGACATAGATTATACGAGAGTAAATGGAAGGTTAGAAGAAAGATAAACATATGCTAATACAGTGAGTTTTTACACTGATGCAAGGTGGGACGTCACGAACGACATGTTTAACTCTTACTTATTTGGTTTAAACTAATTTCAAAGACGACAGTATACATATATAAAACAATGAGCACCATCGTCAAGTGACCATCAACACACCATAAGAGTTGAAGATCAGTACACCATGCTAGGTGAAGATCAGTACACCGAACTAGGTGAAGATCAGTATACCATGCTAGGTGAAGATCAGTACACCATACTAGGTGAAGATCAACACACCATACCAGGTGAATATCAACACACCATACTAGGTGAAGATCAACACACCATACCAGGTGAAGGTCAACACACCATACCAGGTGTAGATCAACACACCATACTATGTGAAGATCAGTACACCATGCTAGGTGATGATCAGTACACCATACGAGATGAAGATAAGTACATCATACTAGTGAAGATCAACACATCATACTAGGTGAAGATCAACACACCATACTAGGTGAAGGTCAACACACCATACCAGGTGTAGATCAACACACCATACTATGTGAAGATCAGCACACCATACTAGGTGAAGATCAACACACCATACTATGTGAAGATCAACACACCATACTAGGAGAAGATCAACATACCATACTAGGTGAAGATCCGTACACCATTCTAGGTGAAGATCAACACACCATACTAGGTGAAGATCAACACACCATATAAGATGAATATCAATACACCATACTAGATGAAGATCAACACACCATACCAGGTGAATATCAGCACACCATACTAGGTGAAGATCAACACACCATACTATGTGAAGATCAACATACCATACTAGGTGAAGATCAACACACCATAGCAGGTGAAGATCAACACACCATTCAAGGTGAAGATCAGCACACCATAAGAGATGGAGATCAACACACCATACCAGGTGAAGTTCAGCTCACCACACGAGGATGTAATTCCATCTAAAATGTTACCAGATTAGAGACTACTGTTATCATTGACAACGATTGCTAACAAGTAACACTAACAAGCTACACTATCAGTTACATTAACAAGTTATACTAAGAGTTACACTAACAAGTTACAATAAGAATTAGATTAACAAGTTACCATAAGAGGTGAAAGAAGGATAAATTGCAGAAAACTAAAATATCTTGCACGTGAAATATTGTTTGTTTTTTCTACGTTTTCCCGCAGAGATCCAAAGATAACCGTCTGTAATTTTAGAATGAAGACTAAAGAGAAGAAAGCTAATCAAAGATTACCTCTTTATATCGCCGTCTGTAATTTTATAATTAAGACTAAAGAGGAGGGCGCTAATCAATAATTACCTCTTTAAAGCACCGTCTGTAATTTTAAAATGAAGACTAAAGAGAAGAAAGCTAATCAAAGATTACCTACATATAACCGTCTCGAATTTTATAATGAAGACTAAAGGACGAAGCTAATCAATAGCACCCAAAACCAACTTTTGGGCTATTACTGTATGATAGAATAGTGGGAATTATATGTGAATGCCACTCTTATAATACACATCCACGGCCATAAAGTACTTTTGTAACAACGGGCCAAGTACTAGTGTCCCTCAAACGAACAGTCCGAGAACGTTTACCAGTAGGCTACGCTCAGCTCACACGTACAAAATAGAAGATTATTGTAAAATCAGAAGAAACTGGGTGTATTTGAATGATGATTTAGTGCAACAAGAAACCGACACATATGGACGCATAGAATGTATAAAACAATGTTCGTCGAGTTTTATAGCTTTCTCTAGTTTCTCATATAAAGTGTTCCAGTGAAGTAACAGTGAACTATAGGTGTTGTCAAGAAAAGTTATCCACACCAGTTGTGCATGATACAATTCTTTCACTCTATAGTAGTGGCGCGTCTACTCAAGAATACAGCATCAAGTGGCATTTCTAGGTTAGCAATAGCATCTCTTGGAGCTATAGAGAGCTAGAATGAAACAATGTTCTTACAAGGATGAAACCATGTTCTTGCTAGAATCAAACCATGTTCTTGCAAGGATGAAACCATGTTCTTGCTAGAACGAAACCTTGTTCTTGCTAAAATGAAACCCTGTTCTTGCTAGAATCAAACCATGTTCTTACAAGGATGAAACCATGTTCTTGCTAGAATCAAACCATGTTCTTGCTAAAATGGAACACTGTTTTTGCTAGAATCAAACCATGTTTTTGCAAGGATGAAACCCTGTTCTTGCTAGAACGAAACCTTGTTCTTGCTAGAATGAATCCCTGTTCTTACAAGGATGAAACCCTGTTCTAGCTAGAATGAATCCCTGTTCTTACAAGGATGAAACCCTGTTCTAGCTAGAATGAATCCCTGTTCTTATTAGGATGACACGAAGTTCTTGCTAGGATGAAAACCTGTTCTTGTTAGAATGAAAACCTATTCTTGTTAGAATGAAACCTTGTTCTTGTTAGAATGAAACCCTATTCTTGCTAGAACGAAAACCCATTCTTGTTAAAATGAAACCGTGTTCTTTCTAGAAGTTCTTGCTAGGATGAAAACCTGTTCTTGTTAGAATGAAAACCTATTCTTGCTAGAATAAAACCTTGTTCTTGTTAGAATGAAACCCTATTCTTGCTAGAATGAAACCATCATACATATCAAGTATAAACTAGGATACATTACAGGCGGTATTGAGAATTAACTGTTTACATTTTCTATAGACCGACTCCATGCAGAGAGAAAACTATGACAAAGTTTATATTTACTTCATTAGACTCTGTACAAAACTTCCATGAAAGAAATTGGCAAGAAAATCAGAGATCTTGGGTGGAACTTTGATCTGAAGAGGACGAGAAGAAATACATTTAAACAACATGCCAATTTACCGTCTTCGATTCTAACCAGTTGTTGAATTAGTTTTGGATTCAGTTCCGAAACTTACGATAAGTCAACAAAATACATTCAATTAAATGACAGATCTACTTGCGATTTGGATATGTACAGTATTTTGTTGTTAAAACTCAGTCGTAATAAGAAGCCATTGGTCCTGCTGTCAGTTTGTCAACTAAAATCTATAGAGTCTTCTGGCTCGTATGAATAAGCCAAACAACCTGTTGCTGGTTGAAGACATCTGATACTGCCTGATCGAACTATGTCCGAGCCCATAACAACGCTCAATCTCCATTATTAAGTAACTATTGCTATGTCTCTCAGTCGAACAATGCGGTTACGAATTGGATGTAAAGTGCTTGGTATTAAATAAAGTTACGTCTAAGCATATTTCAATCAATGTATTAATTCATAACTGACTGGTAATATTAAGTCATTTAATGGGTGTTATAGAAACTATAATTGAAGAACCTGCTCAGATTGAAGAATTGAATAGTTTTAACAGTGAAACTATTCAAGATATCTTTGGTAATCTCGATGTAGCCAAGTATCTTAATATCTTGAATTAAAGTGTTGTTTGTGTTTTAAGTCTCAGTCTCCGAATTAATTGTTTATTTTAACTGTAAGCTTTCTCAAGTTACTGACTTGTGTGCTCCATTCATGACTGTAAACCTGGATTTTAAATAAAGCTATTGTTAACTGGATTTAAGTCGAACTCCAAACGACTAGCCTATACGACGATCCACGTTTTTACAAGTGATGTAGTTCCAAGGGCGGCACGAAATCTGGAATGTTCTCCTTAAACAGTGTAATTAACATTTTTATTGACATCAAGATATTACGATGAGAAGAAGATCTCCTAATCATACATTGGATTTAACTGTATATTCAAAATTAGCAGAGGCTGTAACCAAAGTGTGGAATTATTTGTTATGATCAAGATCTGTGATAGACAAAATCAATTGAGCTCAAAATCATTTATTTTGTTTGTTTGAAACTCGTGTCTGCGTAATAAGTTGAACAGTCGAGCCAATAATAGCATGTCGGCTCATTTGCATCTTAGAGGTCCTGTAATAAACAAAAATATATTATCAAACTTCTTGATTTTATAATAAGTAAAATCATCAGCGCCCCCTAAATATTATATCTTGTATTTTTATATCATTTATTGTTATGGATATTCCTGAGGTCTTCAGTATGCTCTCGTTGAA